GGCAGAAAGAGGAAGCTCTGTGTCTCTGTCTTTACAAGGGCTTTATTACCATCATTGGAAGGCTCTACCCTCATGACCTTATCTAAACTCAATGACCTCACCAAATGACCCACTTCCTGTTAGGTAAACAAATTGGGGTTAAGGCTTTAACATATGAAATTTGGAGGGAGCATAAACATTCAGTCCATAAAATTTTACCTGGAACCACACAAAAATTCATGTCCTTATCACCCTCCCCCCCCGTGGCGGCCGCACTCGGGCGGCGCTCAGCACCTGTGAAGGAGTCGGGGTAGATGGACTCCAGCGCCTCCAACTCGTTGCGCTGCTCCTCGCCGTAGTCCGTCATCGTGGCCCGAGCCGCCGCCCATGGACAACCAGACACGCAGGGGCGCGCAGCAGCCGAGACCGCGGCCGCCGGGAGAGCAGGCGCAGAGTCCCAGCTGGAAGGCCCGGGGCCCACGCCAGGCCCTACCGAGGGACAGCTCCGCGCCGGCCTGCGCCTGCTCCCTCGCTCCGCGCTCGACTCGTTCGGCCTGGCCCGGGGGGCCGGCCTTGCTGCCCGCGCCGCGCCCTCTAGGGCTTTGCTGGGACGGCGGAGCCGCTTGGTCCGGCATTCGCCGAGGACACCTAGGTCGGCTCCCGCTCTCAGCAGGGCCGGGGCCTCCGAGAAGCCCCCAGCGCGGCATCCGCGCTCTATGCGTCGGGGCTGAAGGCGGTGTCGCTGCGGGCCGGGCGCCGGGAGTCCGGGGCTCCACCTCTTCCGGCTCGCAACCCGCGGCCGGCGCTGTGCACGTGCTACCCAGTGTGTACCGTGGTGGGCTTCGGGCCGGGGCTGAGCTGCTCGCGCTCCAGAGCGCCTGGCGTCCCCTTGAGTTGGGCCTGGCTGGGACCGGCGCGGAGTCCCGTGTAGACGAACAGAAGCGCTGCTGCGGCGGGGTCGGGCGGGTCCCGGAAAGAAGTGGACAGGGGGGTGTGGGGACATCGGGGGGGTCCCGGGGAGAAGTGGATGGTGGGGTCCGGGGGTATCCGGCGGTGTGAGGCGGTGAGTGGGTCCAGGGTAGAAGTGGACGGGCGGAAGGTGGGGTGGGGCTGGGGTCCCAGGGTGCAGTGGACGGGTGGGTCGGGAGAGTCCGGGGGATCGGGCAGGTGTGGGAAGGTCGGTGGGTCCCAAAGAGCGCTCGGGGTTGTCCCGGGGATAATTGGAGGGGCGGAGGCGGGACAGCGGCTAGTCCCGGGGAGAAGTGGGCGGGAGGATCGGGCGGTCCACGGCAGAAGTGGTGGGCGGTGGCGGGGCGGGGGGCTCGGAGGGGTCCGGGGGAGAAGTGGGCGGGCAGGTCCCGGGGAGCAGCGGGAAGGGTTCGGCGGTCGGGGAGGATGGGCTGGGAGTCGCGGAGGGGCTTCGGGTTCAGATCCGAGTGCCCCTGGAGCCGGGGCCGGGGGCGCTGGACGTGGCTGCGCCCCTCTGAGTGATGGAGGGAGGTCGACTTCGCCAACAGGCCTGAGGTGCGGCCTCGAGGTGGCCGCGCCCGGGAGGTGTTCGGGGCCTTGATGGCGCCCGCTTCTGAGCGCAAACCCGAAGGAAGCGCGTTGCCTTGTGTGCGAGCTCGTCTCCAAGCCCGTCGCCGCGATTACGAGGGAAATCTGAAGAGACCCGGACGGCAAAAGCTAGGAAAGCGTTGAGCACACGAGGCACGGTCATGAGGAGCGCATCTGCTATTTGAATGTATGCTTGCAATCAAGGAACCCATATTCCCTTATCATAGTGTGTTAAGTTAAAATGTGAGAAGATACACACATCCCTTTATTTTTCTTCGTTTTCTGTATTAAAGCTGTAGCAGGAGGAGCTCTTTAAATAGGAAGCGTCTAGTGACCAGCCTCTCGTTCAGACCAAGTCCTGCGGGCTGGAAGGCTCTTGACCTTCTGTTGAGAATTGTTGCCTACTGACAGCGGAGGAGCACATGAAAACATACCCAGGCACACGCTGGCACTGACTCTGTTTTAGAGTATTCAGAGTTGGTTTGGGGCATTATTTTAAACCGCCAGGAAAAAGTAGATGCTCTCCTGATGATGGTGAGAAACGTAAACAGAGGAAGTGACTGTGTACATACAGGTGCCTGTTTCTCTGGACAGCCTCAGCTCAAGGGCATTGTGATGGTTGTTCCCAGCAGGCCTGGGCAGAGGGAGCAACCAAGGCACAGGCTCTGAGGTGGGAACTGCTGGCATTGGGAGCCTGGCGGTCAGAGCACAGTGAAGGGGAAGGTTTTGCTGCAGGTCAGTGGGCTCGTCGCAGTGTCTGCATGGAAGGGACAGACTGTCCCTTCGCATAAGACTTCTGGTTTCTGTGGTGGACACTTACCCAGGACAAGGCCTGAAGTTTGGAGGCCAGTTGGGCTGTGGCGATCGTCTAAGCAAAAGGCACAGTGGCTGAGCTAGAGTGGCAGTGATAGACGTGGTGGAGCAGTGATCTATTTCTCGATGTGTTTTGAACACAATGCTGTAGGATTTGATATGGGTTGTGAGAGAGGATTCAAAGGGGTCTATGACTCAGAAAACTTTAATCAGCCTCCCCCGTCTCATGCAAGGGAAAATTACTAGAGATTGACTTATACAAGACCACATGAAGGATGGGAGCTGGTGGTTTTCTGACCCATTTTGACCCTTTATTGAAAACAAAGGGGCAGGTGTGAGAGGTGTTGTGGCCCTGCCCTACCTGAGAGAGAGAACAGCTGAGACTCAGAGCAGCTTGTGATTGGTCTGTGGCTGATGGAGCAACAGGCCCGCAGTTACGCCCCAGTGAGAGTGGACAAGTCCCGTTGTCAAGAAGCACCATCCTTGACATCTGACTCTGATGTATGCAGGTCCGGTTTAGGTGGACCAGGAGGACTTGTGATACGGCCCCTTGTCATCAAGCTCGGATGTCTCAGTTCTCTGAGGGCACTGTGAGGAGAGTCCTCTCAACACCGTCCTAGCAAGGCCAAAAGGCTGCCTTTCTGCTGTGTCCCAGCTCAGGACTGGGGAGGGCAGGTTGGAGGTTGCACCACCAGGACTGGGATCGACTTCATCATGGACCTTAATTACTTCATTAATAAAATGGGAGAGGTTACTTTACTGGGCTCAGGTATGTCTGGATCACTAGTTAGCTAATAAAACAATGATATAAATAGGGGTGTGGTTTTTCATTTGTCTCACTCCATTGTTCAGGCTGGAGTGCAGTGGCATGCTCAGGGCCATCCCAGCTTTGACCTGCTGGGCTCTGGCAATCCTTCCACCTCAGTCTTCCAAGTAGTTGGAACTACAGGTGCACGCTGCCGCGCCTGGCTAATTTTTTGATTTATTGTAGAGATGAGGTCTCGCCAAGTTGCCCAGGCTGCTCTCGAACCCATGGGCTCAGGCAGTCCCCTAATCTCGGCCTTCCAAAGTGCTGGGATTACTGAGGGGTGTGTTTTATTAGTACAGAGCTTTAAAATTTTTTTCATATTTAATGCAAAAATGTCAATGAATTAAAGAATTAATGTCATTTCAGGAAGCCGTTTTCTAATATGTGACTCTACTTGCCACTTTGTTGTAAGGAGTGACTAGGATACTTTGTTGAAAGTCGCCAGTGTGAAGTGAGCACCGCGTATTATTTTACCGCTGTCGGGGTGAAGACACCCGTGTTGACCACTGGGTGGCGGCAGAGCACGCCATGCTTGAAGTTCGCTTTCTTTTTGAAGTTCGTTTTCTTTCTGAAGTCCCGGCGTGCTGAGATCAGAGAAGTTGAATTGGGCTTGGTGGTTGGTACAGAAAAATGACGCAGGTCAGGAGTAATCCGGTCGCCTCTCTGGAAATGCCGCCCGTTTTTCTTTGGTCCAGAGTTCACATTTGCAGAGCCAGCGTGTGACTGTCCACGCTCTGCGGCGCCGGCGTCTGTGCTTTGCTGACCAGTGGTAGGGTTCAGTAGACTGTTCAAAAGTCAGTCGTGTCAACACACCTCACACCTTCAAGATGGCAAAGAGTCACCTGATCTCGCATTCTGAAGGCCTGTGGTTGGCCATGAGACGTCAGAGCCTGGGGGTTAATGTGATCGCCCTTGTGCCACGAGCCAAGTGCAAGAGGGCACTTAGTGCAGTCACAGGAATGTTTCTTATATCACACGTGTTAGGTAGGGTCTTTTAAAAATGGGATCGAAGACAGAACAGGGAAAAGAATGACAGCGCGTAAGCGTAGCGCTGCAGTTCCGCCTTTGGAAACATTCAGAGGAGTGAGCACAGGAGTGAGCACAGCTCAGTGTTGGGCTGGATTCTCTCCTGGGAAGGTGGAAGCGGAGGCGCTGGCGGAGTTGAAGTGAAGGATGGGGCAGGCCTGCACATGCCAAGCCCCGAGTCCGATGTGGTAGCAAAATACAAGGTAGTGTTAGCACATCAGTGCTTTTAATTCTGTGTTTTGTAATTACATAAACTAAGCATAAAGGGGAGGAAATGCCATGTTCTTAATGGAAAAGTTTCTTCTAACTGGCAGTGGAACAAAAGAACACTCTAGATTTTTTTTTTTTTTGAGTTGGAGTCTCACTCTGTCGCCCAGACTGGAGTGCAGTGGCCGCTCCTGGCCACCGTAGCCTTGACCTGCTGGGCTCCGGCGGTCCTTCCGCCTCAGCCTTCCAAGTAGCCGGAATTACAGGCATGCGCTTCCACGCCCGGCTGACTTTTTGATTTATTGTAGAGATGAGGTCTCACCAAGTTGCCCAGGTGGGTCTCGAACCCGCGGGCTCAGGCAATCCACTCACCTCAGCCTCCCAAAGGCGCGGGATTACAGGCTGAGCCACTGAGCCCGGCTCACTCTAGATTTTTTAAAAACTGGGAATTTAATTTATTTGATGTGAAATAGATAACATACTATACAGTGAAATCCCGAGGGTGCATACTACCCTTTCAATTTCACACAGATACTATAAAACACATTGAAGCCACACAGAAGAGCCAAAGAGTACTTAGACTCCTTTGCCAGAAAGCTATAGTGGAAGATTGTGATTAACTGCTCAAGACATAAAATTTTTATGTAGTTCTCTGAAGGAGTTTGATACAGAGAGGACTTCAGAAGCTAGTGAAAACAAAGTTTCTGGTGTTAGGGTATATAAAACTATAAACCTTTCTGATGCTGTGACTTCAAACACTGATTTTGCTGTTAACTGAAAGTCTTATTGAAGAGTCTTTACTTCGTGTGTTTCCTGAAAACTAATAAATGAATGCTGAGCCTTGTCTGCAATGTTTATTTAGCTAGTATGTCCCAACACAGAGAAACTTAAATACTTCTGAGATAAATAGAACATAGAATTGCTGAGCTGGAGGAGACCTTGGGGAGCAAGATGGATGTGACATTTTGTATTCACAGCTCAGTTCACATCGGAGTGAACCTGGCACACCACTGCCTTCACAATGTGCTTCCACTCTGATTTTTAACATCCTTCTTGTGGCCAGGCTTGGTGGCTCAGCCTGTAATCCTGCGCTTTGGGAGGCTGAGGTGAGTGGATTGCCTGAACCCGCGGGTTCGATACCCGCCTGGGCAACTTGGCGAGACCTCATCTCTACAATAAAAATAAAAAAATTAGCCGGGCATGGTAGTGCGTGCCTGTAGTTCCAGCTACTTGGAAGGCTGAGGCGGAAGAATTGCCGGAGCCCAGCAGGTCGAGGCTGCAGTGGCTGGGAGTGGCCACTGCACTCCAGTCTGGGCAACAGAGTGAGACTCCAACTCAAAAAAAAAAAAAAAGTCCTTCTTGTGGTATCATGTCAGTACTGAGTATAGAGTTAGCTACAAGCTGGAGTATCTTTCCTTGACCACTTAAAAAAGGTCAGGGCATCAGCATTCTTTTACGAGTGGAATGCCAGTAAATGTCTGCAGAGAAAAGTTAGGTTCAGACCCACTGACATTTTCCTTCCAAAAAGTAGCCTGGATCCTGTACTTCATATTGTTTGAGAAGGTTATATACATGTTGGCCTGTGTCATAAACACAGAAGTCACTGATGTTGAAGAGACTCGAGTATTCTTAGTACAGCTCTTTGCCTTCTAGCAGGTGAGATATCGTTATCTCTATTGTACGGATGGAACAGACGAGGCCTGAGAGACCAACTGCCTTGTCCTTGGTTAAATGATGAGTAGGTAGTGAGGGCAGGCAGCTCTGCTGTCCCAGCAAATACTACACCAGGCAGTCTCTTGTAAAAACAAAACACAACCTAAAACATCGTTTCCTTAAAAATTCATTTTCTGCTTGTTTCTATTAAGTGAAGGACCCAGGGTTTTACAGAAAATAGAATTATATAAAAGTAGATTACCAAGTAATTGTATTTTAGATAGTCAAATTTCTCATTCTCCTTGAAAGTCAATTTTAAAAGCCAGGTTGACCTTAGCAGCTAGTTCATTGTCCAGTAAGCAATCATTGCTTTAGCTAAATGAATAAAAGCCCCCAGATTGCTTATTTTCACCAATGAGCCAGTTGCATAATGTGGCAAAATTAGGCAAATGACATATATATATGTGCTGAGAGTGCTCCAAAAATGCATCCTTTAAGAGATGTTAAGATGTTTGTCATAATCAGAAGCGTCTGGACGCTGATGGGAACCACTGTGAGTACCTCTTGTAATTGCAGAAGTCAAATGTGACTTGTATTCATCTTTTCGGTATATATGAAGTATTGTAATCTTAATTGTTTTTTCCTTTCTTAAAATGTGTATATGTTTTTTGGACACCCTCTGTATATCAGAAATAACCAAGATAAATCAGGAAACTGTTTATATGAGAGACTGCGTTTAGTGAAGCCACATAGAGCAGTTCAGCAGGTGTTTTCCCCTTTGGGAGTTACAGATTATGGACATACACACATAGGCTGCAGTCTTGGTTCCCCATGTGGATTCTGAGTGCAAAGTGCAACTTGAATATGAAAAGGTACAGAGAGTATCTCTGTAGTGGCACAGAGGGGAAGCTTTCTAGAATAAGCTTTCTATGGGGTGGCCATTAAAGTGTTCCCAGTACAGAGATGCTGCAAATAACATGACACTAGTGATGACCCAGTAATGCATCATCTTCCCCTGGCCATGGCCAGATAGCTCAAGACCTTCCTGCAGGGCCTCCTCCTTTCTAGACATGTAAACAGTCTAGAAAGGGGTTTTTGTCCTTCCCCAAAGGCCAGATATTTAAGTTTGAAAAAAGAAGGCTGTGAAAAGTTCTAGATATCATATAAAGGGAGATACAAAATCAGAAATGGGAGGAAAAATAGTGATAGACGATATGGAATGCCGTTTTAGAGAAAAGGAGAAATTCACATTAACATTTATTTTTTGTGAAAGGCTGAACACTGATTATATTTAATTCTCACAGCAGCTCTATGAGGTAACTATTATGTGCAGATGACAAAATGGTACTTAGAAATACTAATTTTCACACAGCTACTAAGCAGCAGAACTAAGGTGCAAATTTTGATACAACTTCAAATTCCATCTCGTTTTTACTTAAACAAATATGACACAGCATTACCAGGCCATCAATGAAATTTCAAAGAGATTGGCACAATTATCAGATATACTGATGTTAGATGTAAGATTTTACATGGCCTGTGTAAGCAAATGTCAGAGGAGAGAGAATAAGATGAAGAGATTACATTGAAACCCCATGATCGTAACAACCAAGTATCTGTTAAGCAGCTTAAATGGTGAAAGGTGGTTCATCAAGGTTTTAGCTCAATGCCTCGGGATTTGTCTTCCTCATTTTCCTCATCCACCCGGTCTCCAAGGACGCTGTAGTGACCTTGCAGGCAGTCACCCATGCATAAGAGACTGGGTGCGGAGACCTCCCTCCAGTCCTGACACGAGGGGATGCGGATGTGTCTGACATCTTCACTCCCAGGAACAAAGCCAAACAGCTTCTTAACACGCTGCAGGATGAGAAGCCGGGAGTGCTGCTCGGCGGCCTCTCGGAAGAGCGCTCTCTCATTCTCCAGGTGGCTGGCCCAGTAGTAATGCTGCAGAGAAGTCAGGGGGGAGCAACACTGTGCCACGCAGCTGCACACCAGGACAGCAGCGGTTGCCAAGGCGATCAGAATCCAGCCCAGCATCTTCACATCACCATTAAAAAGAAAAACAGGAAGTGCCAACACAATATTCAAGAAACAGTGGGAGGGATTCCTATAAAACCAAGAACTAAAATATGCATATGAAGTTTGCCTTTTCAGTCTTTAATATATTGAGAAAGTGCTGATCATGTGATGTGGAAGCAGGTCTGAGGGAGTTGTGTAGACCCAGTCACTTCAGATTTGTTTTTGGGTTACAAAAGGATTTTGACCCGTCAACTTGGAATGGATTCTGAGTACTGTCCTTGAATGACAGACGCTATAACCCACCAATTAACCTTATAGAAGACTCATAGCTTTCTTTGCTTTTAGTTTAACTTTACCTCTCAACCACCAGGTACAGGTCCACGCATTCTTTGGGCACTTAATAAATATTTGATAATGATAGTTTTGAAAATGATACGATGCATAATAATAGTAGCCTCCTAAGGCATTTTCAGTAATGTGCCAATAGGCATTCACTGATGTTTCCTCTTGGGTTCACTCTTTCCTCTTCTGCAGCCTAAGAAGAAAGTCAGTGAACAGACTCAAGTCTCTAAATGTGTTACGGATAGTAGAGTCACTGCACCTCATAGTATCTTAATATTTTCATTTCCCTTCATCTAGGACCAGTTTATTTTGTGTCTTTGAGACATACTTTATTTTTTATTTTTTGAGTTGGAATCTCACTGGCTGGAGTGCAGTGGCTGGAGTGCAGTGGCTCGCTCACGGCCATTGCAGCCTCAACCTGCTGAGCTTAGGTGATCCTTTTGCTTCAACCTTCCAAGTAGCTGCAACTATAGGCATGTGCCGCCACGCCCAGCTAATTATTTGATTTATTGTAGAGATGAGGTCTCGCCAAGTTGCCTAAGCTGTTCTCGAATCTGTGGACTCAGGCAATCCTGTCACCTTGGCTTCCCAAAGTGCTGGGATTACAGGCATGAGCCACTGCGCCCGACCAGAAACATACTTTAAAAAGGAAAATGAACTCATTTTTATTTGAGACCATTTAGTATGGGCTTTAAAAGCCTGACGTACATGACTGTTTTTTATGAATCTTTTTTCTTTTTATTATTTGTCAGTATTTCACAGTTGTTATGTAAAGTGAGAGCGGCAAGTTCCCAACTTTTAGGGAAGCTAGCAGGCTGCAGCCACAGCCTGGGTGGTAAAGGCCTCTTCTGCACCTGTGATTCACCAGCAGGCCTGGAGTTGCTAGCGTGTGCACTGGGGATGGTTATGCTACACAGAGGCTAAACCCTGCAAGGTGACACTCATCACAGTTTCGTTTAATAGGGACCAGCACAGTGGAGGAAAAGCCCTCACAGATGCTCGTTAGCTTATTAACTATCATGTGTTGTACCCCAGGTTGACCACCCACCATGTGCAATGCGTGGGGCCTGGTGACGCGGACTCAGACGTGAATGATTTCAGATGCATTCATTCTCTCTATGGGTTTTCAGCCTGTGCGGGAGACTAACAAGCCCGCCAAGAAGTGTGGAACACTGGGATGGTTTCTGTGGGAGAGGGATGAGCTCATTCAGGGGAACAGAGTGTTAGGGAAAACTTCCCAGAAGAGATGATGCTCAGACTCAAGTCATGAATAAAGTTCACCTGATGCAAGAGGCCAAGGAGGGTCTAATCAGGGAAGGAGAGAAAACTACAAGCATGAGGAACTGGGGGAACCTCAGGAAGTCTGGATTTATGGGGGCATAGATGTCATATGGAAAAGTAGTCAAGGACCAAATATTGAATGCCCTTGTGTGTCACCCCAAGGAATTTGGATTTGTTCCTAGGCTAATGAAAAACCACTAATGGACTTTATGTGCAAGGGAGAGGGATTGCATCATCCAGTTTGCATTTAGAGAGAGATTTTGTCATGTGTGTAGAAGGTAGGTTGAAATGGGGTAAAGCTGATGTCAGAGATTTTAGAATGAGGCATAGGCAAAAAGAGACTTGAATTTACTGTGGTCTTGTGGTCAATTCAGAAAAATACAACTGAAAAACAAGGTATATTCCTCAAATGTGATTGACATAGTTGAGGAAGACAGCCTGGTGAAATGGAAACAGCATGATTTTGGGATATCTTGATCAGTTATTTATGTACTCTATGAATAATACAGGTTACATAAACTTTTTGAGCTTTGATTTACTCATCTGTAAAATGAGGTAATATCTGTTTCTCAATATTAGGATGACTGGAGTTAAGATATGAAATATTAGCCGGGCTCGGTGGCTCAGTCTGTAATCCTGCGCCTTTGGGAGGCTGAGGTGAATGAATTGCCTGAGCCCGCGGGTTCGAGACCCGCCTGAGCAGCGAGACCTCATCTCTACAATAAATAAAAAAAATCAGCTGGGCGTGGTAGCGCATGCCTGTAATTCCGGCTACTTGGAAGGCTGAGGTGGAAGGATCGCCAGAGCCCAGCAGGTCGAGGCTGCGGTGGCCGGGAGCGGCCACTGCACTCCAGTCTAGGCGACAGAGTGAAACTCCAACTCAAAAAAAAAAAAAAGATATGAAATATTTACACAGTACAAGGATCTCAATAAGTTTTATAGTCACAAAATCAAAAGAATCCACTGGTGATGATAGGACTGTAAGACAGTGTATGCATCTAATAACAAATTTTACTTTGACTTTGAGAACATATTAGTACTGTGTATTACATTTTAATTTTTCTTTTTTTCTGACTTTTTATTTTAAAGATGTGGGGTACAGTTCAGGATTAGGTAGAGAAGCAAGAACTTTTTTTTAAAGTTGGTTCCTTGAGTTTTCACATATTCTCACACAGTTTCTCTGCCTGAGCTTCAGGGCTAGCACAAAGTTAAGACAAAGCATATACTAACTTTTCTTAAACTTAGTCATATTGCAACACCTTGGTATTTTGTGTCTTGATAGTATTGTTTGTCAACTAACATTAGCATTTCTAAATTTTAATAACTCTAAGGTCATGGGTCAAAAACATGTATGCCCTTGCAATAAGTAGTTTTTAAAAGTACATGTTTTTACTGTATTACTGGCATTCAAAAATGTATTTTTTTCCCAAATTCCGTGGAGAAACTGATGAAAGACAGTGTCTCTTTTCTACTGACAGAACACACAATGGCACTACTTAAATTTAACTTCTAAATATAGTAGGTTTAGGCTTTCCTCCCACCCTACCTCACCGTCTGACACAAACCTGTCTGTAGACATTAAATCTAGAATCACAATTGGAGTTGTTTTTCATCATCATTACCCTTCCTGTAATTTAGATGAAATTTTAGTATATAAGAAAACATATTTACTCATATATGCAAAAGAGGGGATTACTAATACAGTAGTAATAATCATAACACCTAAAATTCATTGTTTTTATGATAGATTCTAGGCACCATACTGAGCACTCTAAATGCATGAGCTCACTAATTCCTCACAACCATCGCATATGGTAGATATTATTAATATCCTCATTTTACTTAAGGCTTTGCAGATTAATAAATGACAAAGCAAGATTCAAACCCAGGTCTACTGACACCAAAGCCCAACATCTTTACACAGTCACTCAGCAGGACTGACTCGAATGGATGACTTCAAGTTTTATTCTGTGGTCGGACAATATGCAAAGTAGAAGGATAAGAAATGTTTGCAGTGACTGTGGTTGCTGTGGGAGAGCATAGGCGGGAAAACCACAAAAAACATACCTGTGACTGGAATCTGTGTAGAAGAGCGATTTCATCTCTCACCAGGAGCAGATCAGGAGTTGTTGACTGACAACAGGGAAACCCAGCCAGGATCTCATCTCGTTTGCTGGCGCTGACATTATCAAACATTGGGTAATGGTCCACGGATGCAAACTCACTGGCTGCACACTCATAGTAGGTGCCCGTCAGCAGCGTCACCGCCAGCCATGTCAAGGGAGCAACAACTGCCCGCCCAGTGATGCCAAGCCACCTCAGGCAAGCCAGCTTGCGCTCCAGGGGGCTGATCCTTCGGAGCGGGGGACCACAGCTGCAGCAGGACTCGCCAGTCATCGTCCACACCTGGCTTCTCAGTGCATAGCCAGCCATCAGAAGGATCAAGGCAGGGACGGCAAGATAAGCAGAGCCGTAGTAGAAGTTTTTCCCAGCCTGACAGGGACATCTGAATGTGAACGAGGAGAACAGCTGTTGTCCACCCACAGTCAGAGCTGCAATTAAAGAATTGATGAATGCCCCACTTCTCTGCAGAGAGGTTGCAATCTTGTTCAGAGTTGGGCTCATCATGGGAAGCTCACGCACAGGTCGACTGTGGCCCTTTCTGACCTGGCCTCTGCTAGCCATGGCCATTTTATGGGATCTCACTGGTTTAACTGGTTGTGTCAAGTGACCCACACCCTTATGTGTTTAAAGGACTGTAGCCTCTTTCCCTGCGTGCTTTGTGAATTCTGAGCTAGTAAATGCACTTCAGATGACAGCTGGAAGAGCCCGGGGAGTTTCATCTGGTGTGAGTGAAGGGGAGCACCTTCAGTGTATCTTTCCACCGGAGTGGAGAGCGGGCTTGCAGAAAGCTGCCTCCATGTATCTGTGTGCTGCTTTGCACAACACGACACATTGAGCACTGGCAGGTAGAGCATCTCAAGCAGAACAGAGACATTTTACTCTGTGTTAGCACAGGATTTGTCTCCATGAAATTACAATATAGAGAAGGATGAAAATCATCAAATTCTAGAGTAATCCAAAATTTAGGGTTGACCAGAATGTCCCTAATGTAAGGGTTTTGTCAGAAGATTTCCCAAAGAACAAGCCAGGCACTTAAAGCCAAATCATGACAAAAACATTCTAACTTTGCATAAAAATTTAAAATCCATTTGCCTTGACAGAGTATTGCTATGTGGTGCTTTAAAATTTAAGTTACCAAGCTGGTCTTGGTGGCTCAGCCTGTAATCCCGCGCTTTGGGAGGCTGAGGTGAGTGGATTGCCAGAGCCTGCGGGTTTGAGACCCACCTGGGCAACTTGGCAAGACCTCATCTCTACAATAAATCAAAAAATTAGCTGGGCGTGGTAGTGCGCACCTGTAGTTCCAGCTACTTGGAAGACTGAGGTGGAAGGATCGCCAGAGCCCAGCAGGTCGAGGCTGCGGTGGCCGGGAGCGGCCACTGCACTCCAGTCTGGGCGACAGAGTGAAACCCCAACTCAAAATAAATAAATAAATAAATAGAATTTAAGTTGCCAATTTGTTTATATGGCATCTTTTTGTTATATGAAAATGTGGTATTTGGTTTTTAATAAAGTTATATATATCTATAAACAAATAGTAAGGTGTTTTCTATGTTTATTTACTTAACACATATTTATTGTACAATTTCTATATAAAGGGCACTGAACTAGGTTTGGCTTATAAAAAGGTGAATATGGTATAACTTTCTCAAACTTTCAACTGGACATGGTTAGATACATAATTAATGAATTGAAACTTTGTACTGAGAAATTCATCCAAAATGCAGTACAAAAAGACAAATAATATATTTTTAAAATCAGTTAAGGGAAATAGAAGACAGATTAAGCAACTCCACAATCTATCTAATAGGAGTTCCAGAAGAAAAAGTAAGAGTTAGTCAGAGAGAAAAAACTGAGAACTTTGCAGAATCAAAGCAAGTTCTCATGTCAGAAGAACGATGGTTATCCAGAGCAGTATAAATAAAAACAAATGCACCTAGACACAGAATAAAACGGTAGAATGTCTAAATAGAGTTATTCTGAAAAGTGACCAGAAAGAAAAGGCAGATAATCTACAAAAGAATGAGACTAGGCTGACTACCAACTCCCATTAATAACAATAGAGACTAGAAGACAGTATCTTCAGAGTGATTAGTATCAACTCAACTATCATTCAAGACAGACCAAGATAAACACACAAAGACTCAGGGAATTTACCACCCACAGAACCTCATTAAAAGGATTACTAAAAGTAGGATACATTAAAAAAAAAAAAAAAAAAAAAACTGAGGAAAGGTATTTGAGCAAAAGATAAAAGAATGGTGAACACAGGTGATATCTGAAAATCCATGTATCTGTGGAAATAACTGTTTTATTCCAAAAGGTACAACTAAGGCAACATGTTGATATCACTACATCCCTGTCTAAATGGCTAAACTCTAAAAGATAAATTATACCAAATGTTGATGAGGAGCCAGGACAACCAAAATTCTCATGCGCTGATTGATGATGGAATGTGAAATTTTCTTTAAAAGTTAGCCACACATGTGCTACATGACAGTCATTTATCACCTAGTTATTTACATAAGAGAAATGAAAGCATTTGTCCACACAAAAACCTATCTTAGCAATTCTATTTAGCCACAAACTGGAAACAATTCAAATATCCATTAGCAGATGAGTGAGTCAATAAAGTATTATATGTTCATATAATAGGATACTACTCAGTAAAATAAGAGAAAAAATATTGGTGTATGCAATAACATGAATGAATTTTGATTTTCTATATGAAAGAATTCAGGAAAGGAATATATAATAAATGTATGATTCTATTTATGCAAAATTCTGGGAAATGTAAATTAATCTAAACCAACAGAAAACAGATTGGCACTTGCCTAGGGAGTCTGGGAGAAGAAATGAGAAGAGAGGGGCTGTGAAGGGTATGAGAGCACTTTGGGGGTTGTAGGATTTTCATTGATGGCGGCTACCGTCTGACAGCACAAGAAGGCCAACGTCATTGGAAGAATTACTGTCATGCAGGGTCATATGGGGAGGCCTCAGGTTTGGTCAGGGAGCAGGAGGAGGTGGGAAAGCCTAAGCTGGAGCCTTCACTGGTGTTTCTGTGAACCAGACAAGCCAGGACAGGGAAAACCTTCGGGGTTAGCTAGTTTACATGATCCTGAAGGGCTTGGGGGTACAGAAACTGTTCCTACATGACTGTGACCCATCTCTGGTTGAATCAGGGCAGGGTAAGAATTGGCTTAGAACATGAGAGTCATGTAAGGAAGTGACTCTGGTCACAAGGAGGTGGAAACAGCTTTGCCATAATTTGGCCCTGTAATTAATGGATGCCAAATAGACAAATACAGAATCTGGGAAAACACAGAACAAGGTAATGGGCTTAGTAATTATTCTGATTGATCTGGCAGCTTCAGGGGGATATACATATGTTGAAACTGTGTGCCAATTAGATCTCAATAAGGCCATAAAAATTTAAGTATAGTGTAAAAGAAATACAATATATGAACCATTCAAAAATAGAGGGGGAAAAAGGGAATATTGACAGGGAAGGAGATGGTAAACAACAACAATAAAAAGAAGATGGTAAAGGGAAAACACAAAATAATGGTAGAAATGAGACCAAATACATCAATAATCATATACAAAATATATTTTAAACAGCTGACAATTACTGGGTGCTTACTACATGCTTGGCAGTGTTCTAAGAACTCTACTTTATTTAGACCCTACATTAGCCCTATGATGAGATGCTAATATTATCCTTATTTCTTTTACAGATGAGAAGACAGAGTGTGGAGATATTAAAGACATTGCCCAGGGTCACACACAGACAAGTGGAAGGACAGGATGAGCACCCAGGTGCCCTGATCCATGCTCTAACCACCAACTAGAGCTGGATTAAACTCACCTACAGAGAGATTAAAAGTAATCATACTGCCTTTAAGTGACACTCCCAAAGCTATACCACACACAGAGCTTAGAAAAAAAGGTACTGAAACATATATATCACTGAGAACAATAAGATTAACAGAAGGCAAAACCGAACTAAGGGCAAAGAGTGTCAAAGGACTAATTTTGACAAAGATAGAGAAAGAATGGTCAACATGTATGTCTGTGATTGTATAACTTTTAAATATAAAAAACAATAACTGATGAAATTATAAGGAAAAATTCTTAGAATTAGAGAGAGAGAGATTTCTAATATACCATTGTTGGAAATAGATTGATCGACTAAACATCAGAATATAAAAGATGCAAATAACAAATTTAGCAGGTTTTGTTTGAGTATATGTGTGTGTATGTATAGTATTCTATATCCTAAGAATAGAGAGTAAACATTTTTATAAGTTTCCCCTATAATTATTTGCCTAAATGTATCAAGTATGTAGGAGTGCTCAAAGAATATTCTAGCATTGGTGTTCAATAACAAGTAAACAGATTAATAAACCATGATAATGGACTGCTATAGAGTCGGGGTCAGTTGACTTTGGGGTCAAATTGGTCATTGCCTGTTTTATATGGTTTGTGAGCAAAGAATGGTTTTTTACATTTTAAAATGAATGAAATTACACAAAGTTCACATTTCAGTGTTTATAAATAAAACTTAATTGGAACATAGTCATGTCTGCTCCTTAAGTGTCTTTGGCTGCCCTCACAGCAGGATTGAGTCGTTGTGACAGAATCTGTGTGGCCACAAACCCTAAAATATTTACTGTTTAACCCTTCACAGAAAACGTTTGCTAACCACTGCCATAAATCTGTGAAAACAAATGATCTATAGTGACAGATATGGGTACATCTTAACAAATCACTTTGAGATAAAAATCCAAGTTGTAGGATACTGTACACATGTAGTATGATACTATTAGATACTATTAAAGTTTTAAAACTTTAAAAATTACCTATTCTTCATGGATACTAACATGTCAGAATTTTAGAACATGCATAGGAATAATAATGTCAAGTTCTGGGTGGTGGTGGTGACCACTGAGGAGGAAAGACTAGGATCCTGGAGAGTACAAGAATCTCAACTGTGTCAGTACTGCTTTATTGCTTACCACAAAGTCCACAGCAAGAAGACAGAGACAATGGAACTCGCACAATATCGGTAGGAAGGTAGACCAGTAAACTATGGAAAACAGTTTGGGGATGTCTCAAAAAATTGAAAATGGAACTACTACTGTTGGGCATTTATCCAAAGGAAAAGAAATCAGCATATCAGAGGCATGGCTCCACTTCCATGTTTATGGCAGGACTATTCACAAAAGTAGAGGTATGGACACAACCTAAGTGTCCTTCAATAGTAAATGGATGAAGAAATGTGGCATCTATACACAATAGAATGCTATTCAGCCATAAAAAGGAATGAAATCCTGTCATTTTCAGCAACATGAGTGGAACTGAAGGTCATTATGTGAAGTGAAATAAGCCAGGCACAGAAAGGCAAATAACATATGTTCTCACTCACATGTGGGAGCTAAAACAAGGTGATCTTATGAAGGTAGAGAGTGGAGTTATAGGCAGCAGGGGCTGGGAAGGGTGTGTGGGAGGGGATGAAAAGAGCTCATGGGTACAAGAATACAGTTGGATAAAGGGATGAGTTCTAATGTCCTATAACAGAATAGAGTGGCTATAGTTAACAACAATGTATCATATATTTTAAAATAGTTGGAAGAGAGGTCTTGAAATGTTCCCAGCACATAGAAATGATAAATACTTGAGATGATGGATACCCTGACTTAATGATTACACAGTCTGAGATCAGATGAGATTGGGCACGTTTAGGGTGATATGGCCATAGACATCATTACACATTCTGTGCATATAATGAAATATCACATGTATCCTATAGCTATGTATAAATATTATTTCAATTTAAAAAAAGCCCAAAGCCTAAAGTGTATATAGCAATGTGTTCAGTAAAGCTCAGTCATAAGCACCACATCTTTTCTTTGTTTATAATTCATATTTAAATATCAATTTACTTAAAGTGTTATGATCTGAGTAATGCTTGACTGCTCTCCCTTGATACCAAAGGGGCAGGGAACTGGTAGAAAGAGGTTTATTTCTAAATTCTAATCCAGGGAGCAAAACCAGGCTTCTGGCCTTTTTAAAATGATTCTGCTCACCCTTTAAGTTTTACAGTTGCTCTTATAAGTTCAGGATAGTTGATACCTGTACATTGACTATGTGATTAGCAGAGCATTGTATAAAACCTAAGTTACAGCTGCATTTTGTCAATAATGAAATTTTATGCTCCACATTTCCTGGTGCCAGTAACCAGAGGTATCTCACAGCTTTTTATCAGTAACACCAGGCAGAAGCGTTAATCAAGCTTGCCGTAAAGGAAGTTAACAGGGCCTAAGACATCATACACTGTTAGATGTTGTTATACACAAAAGTTGTACAAATCACAAACTTACAATTACCTTGATACTATATTATTTAAAACTGTGACTACCAAAAAAAGGGAGTAAATGGGATTTACATCTCTCAGTTAATTGGGCAGTCTGCAGAGAAGCTAAGGTTTCTTTGAAGTCACTTACTGGAGTGCATAAGAGATAAGGGGAAGCACAACTTTTGTTAACTCTCAGGAATGTAGGTATGGGCAGGAGTGCTCAAATACTTGCCATGCCCTTCTCTAGGGGTTGTGGCAAAATGGACAGACAATACCGGGTTTCTGTATCAAAAGCACAGATGGTCCCTAACTTACAGTGGTGTCAAAGCAACATGCATTCAGTAGAAACTGTGCTTTGATTTTCATTTTTGGTATAATATTCAGTAAATGACATGACATAAACACTATGGACTTCGTGTCAGATGATTTTGCCCAGCTGTCGGCTACTGTCAGTGCCTGAGCAGGATTAAGATAGCCTAAACGATGATGTTCTGTGGGAAAGATGTATACAATGCATTTTCAATTTAGAAAGGGCTTGTCAGGATATAACCTACTGGAAGTCAAGGAGCATCTGTGAATGGGAAGTGAGGAAGGAAATTGTAGGACATTCTTTCAGGGAACTATGTAGGAAAAGATGGAATACTGATTGACTGGATGTCCCTATAGGAGTGTCAAATTCTTGCTGGAAAGGAGTTTGTTGATGATAATTTCCTACATTTTCACTATTGCTTACTTTTGAAAGAACTAATCTCTTAATCTGCAGTGCCAGTGTGTACATTGACAATGACTGTGAATGATTATATCTATGAGTAATCAATTTCTTGTGGGTTTTGTCTTAGTTTTTCTGTGCTGCTGTTACAAAATACCTGACACCAAATAATTTATAAGCAAACAAACAAAAACCAGAAGCTTCTCTCTCACAGTTCTGAGGCCAGGAAATCCAAAATCAAGGTGCTGGCACTGGTGTCTGGTGAGGGCTACTTTCAGTTTCCAAGATGGCGCCTCACTTCTGTGTCCTCACAGGGCAGAAGAGCAAAAGAGCAGCAAGAGGCCAAAGTCAGCTCCCTTCAGCCCTTCCAACAGGCTCTCATGCAAGCCTGGGGGATCTAAGCACTTCCTGAAAGACCCCACCTCCTAATACCACCTCCATGGCGGTTAAATATCAATACATGAACTTTAGGGACATTCACACCCTAGCAGGCTTTATGCTCGAATGGTCTCCTTGTCAAAGAAACCTGGCTGCTACCTGTTTATCCACCACACATGCATCAGATGTTTACTCCTCAGCAGAGCCCATGGTTTGTTCACAGCTCACACTAGATAAGGAAACTCGGGGCAGAGTACTAGAACTATCCTTGGGGGACTGGGGTGCAGAGAAACATTACATACTAATCTCATGTAAAGAAACCAGGTTAAAGAAACACCGAAAGCAGCCTCAAATAGAAAAAGAAGCTGCAAAGAGATAACAAGCCCTTGGATCAGGTGTGATGGTAGCTGATCATCTGGCTTCTTCTAATATACTGAGTGACGATGTCCTGGGTTCTCATGGTGGACCTGACGTGACCATACCACAGGCCTTAGAGTTCGTGGAATCTATTGCAGCACCACCATGTGCTCCCATCAAGTCCACAGACCCTTTCTATGTTTTTCTCAGGAATCTCTTACCCAGAACCCAGAATTGCCACCAAATGGGTCCATCAACATTCTGTCACTGCCCTCTAGTAGTTTTTGCGAGTCTACCACTAAATATTTTGCTCTAGCATGATTGGAATGTGTATAGCCAAATATATATGGATTTTGAGTCGCAAATGTAGCCCAAATCCCTCTTTGTTGCCTACTATCTAGGCAACCTTGAACACATTTCTTTGCCTCTCTGCTTTTAGATTCCCATTCTACAAAATGGCCATGTGTACAGAACTGATTACCTCACAGATTGTAGTTGAATTAAAATAAGATCAAGAGAGTAAAAACCATGCTGTAAACTATAAAGTTCATATAAATGTATGTTGTTATTCATTGCTACTGAAAAGGCCACCACTCCCACCTCTGCAACCAGCAAAACTGATTTTCCTGAGATCATCATGTTATAGAACCATAGGCACTAATGGAAATACCCTCAACATTGTGGGGGTTTTATTCAATCTATTCAACTACAAGAATAACCTATAGCAATTAGTTTTTATGTGGTGCATTATATTGTGTTTTATGGCACACTTTGTCTCTTTGATCCTCACAATATTCTGTGAGATGAGTGGGATTGTTGCCATTTTACAGACGTGGAGACTGAGCTAGAGCTCAATAAAATGGCTTACCCAAATCCCACAGCCAGTAAATGGGAGAAATGCAGTTTAGCCTGAGCTTCTAAATTCTCCTGGGTCTTTTCAACTACACCATACTTTTCTTCAAAGTATTCCCTAGACTGTCACTTTATAATGAGAATTTGCCAGAACAAATATGAAAAATGAACTCAAACTATAAGAAGGGGGAAATTACTTTCTAAAACTGAGCTTTATGCTTCTATTCCTGGAAAGGTTTTGATCCTCTGAACTCTGCAGTTGTCAAGATGAAAGGAATTTTTTGTTTGAACTTTAAATACTTCTGCATAAATAAAGAGAGCTTTCAATAGAGAACATCTCAGGAACTATCAAAAGAAAGCTAAAGGCTTACTTTCTCTGCCAGAATCATTTATTATTAAATTGTAGAACACCCATTTTGACAAATAGTTTTGTAAGAAAAAAATTACCCGTTCTATCACCCTTTGGTATTGCTGATTGCTGCTAGTGAAAAGAAAAAAGTTACCAAATATGTTTGAATATTACAGTCACACAAGATGGGGATCTGTGTTTTGGGGACAATGTGATATCCACTGGTGCTGTCGATCAGGTCTGAACTTTGAATTTAGTGCCTACAGATTGCTGATCCTGTATCTCTAATTCATACGGCAATCAATACAAGACTGAATAATGCTAACATTTAGATCTTTCTTGGATTGTGAAGGTGTCTGTTTGTGATTTTAAAACAATGCCTTGGCATGAGAACAAAATACCACTCTTGAACCCCCTAGGGCTAAAGGATTTTTTTAGTGTCTCAGTGTTTTTGCTCTGACTTCACACTGCCAGAGTTTATGGCTCTGGATGACAACTCATCCTCACAAACGAAGCAGTTATTTGATCCGTGGCAAGGTAGGCAGCCACAAGACAATGCTGTTTATGACTTTGTTCCTTTTTCAGTTCAGCAAAGAGCAAAAACAGTAGAATGCAGAACTAGCACTCCCGCTTCAAAGCAAGGAAGAACTTGCAAAACCAAACAGGAGGACAAAGACTGACACATCTCCAAGGTATAGGCAAAAGAAAAGACATTCTTCCTCGATCAAGTACAATGTCTCGTCCTGCACAGAGAAGACCAGAATACCATAAAATAGTAAGATCTTTTTATAAAGAGATTTCTTTTCTACTTCAGAGAAAATACTTTCTTGAGTGATTTCTTATTTATTTTGAACAGTGATGCTACAAGGATTTTTCAGTGGAGTAAAGAGTGTTTAGTGGAACGAATCGTAAATGACACCCCTAGGAAAAGTTACAGTGGTCTTCCACACACTCCAAGAGTAAACCATTCTTTATACAGATCTTAGGGTCCTATTTTCTGGCTAATTATATCCATAAGTGTCAAATTTTGTCTCTGACAAAAAATATGAAAAGATGAAGCAAATTTTTGTGTTTCATACTTCATGAAATAGAAAATGAAATGTATAAAAATAGTTGATTACATGTAAAATTGATTAGAAATAGATTATCAAAAAACTAGCTATTAAAAGATTTTCTCTGGAAATCTATATCCTAATCTTAAATGTGTTTATTGTTGTAATTTGATATGTGATACTATCCTTTCAACATAGTCCAAGTTCAGTTATTTAAAAAAAATTTTTTTTGCAGATTAGTTTTGAATAAAGATTCTTGAAATCTCTGTTATAGTTTTAGTCATTCAGAATTTACAGATGTGAAAAGTCTTCATTAAGTTTAAGTCTGTGTTAATTATTTTGGGAGACTGATGGGCATTTGATATAATTAATTACACTTGATACGATAGTACATAGTTCATATTATAACTAAATCACTTGATGTTTGTAGCAGTTAAAACACATATTTATCCTGATATATCCAAAATCTCCAGAAATAATGAACAGTGTTCTATTTTTCACATATAAAAATGATTGTTTTTTATTGTTTTAAAAACTATGAAGATAAACTTATATTGACTTTTCCTGGAGTCTATGGTATGGATTTGAGACCAACTAGACAGGCAGTTCAGGGTACAGCCATTGGCTATGAAGCAGAATGGAGAAAATTGGCCTTTATGGATATTGAATGTGGAAAACTCAGTTGTAAGTAAAACACATTTCAAAATATAGTGGTAACCCCCATCACAGAGAGCAAAGGGAAGAATTCTATTCAATTGGCCTTAAACTGAAATGAGCACAATGCTGAGGCTATGGCATGTGGCTGGGGTATAATTTTTTCTCCTTTGGTCTTTTAAAAATTTTGTTTTACTACTAGTGGCAACAAACATATCATTTTGTCTCTCTCTCCCCCTCCCCTTCTCTCTCTTTTTCTCTCTCTCCTTCCTTCTCTCTCTTTCCTTCTCTCACTTCCTCTTTCTCTCTCTTCCTCTCTCTCCCTTCTTCTCCCTCTCCTTCTCCTCTCTTCCTCTCTCCTTCTCCCCTCTCCTTCTCACTCTCCTTCTCTGTCTCCCTCCCCCTTCCTTTCTCTCTCTTGCTTATTTTTATGCTGTAGTATTGATGCATGGGTGTACTTTGTCCTCCAGACATTTCCTTTATAATTTACAGACATTTCTTGTGATTTATTATTATGTTCTTGCAAGATTTAAATAAGTACAGAATTAAACCTGAATACATGGTGGCCCTTCAGTGTTTTGTTTAACACTTTTGTTCACATCACTTACCCTACATCCCTTGTTTCCTAGTAAAAACAGTCACACACTCATTATTTTCCTATAACCTAAACTGTATATATTAATATCCCTCATGTGATGTCAGTTAATGCATATCCTACATACACTTCAGACACATGGATTTATACTTTCGCATATGAATTGTGTCTATATGTTTCACATAATGTTTAGATCTATGCCCCTAAAATGTATTTTGTGATAATAGATATTTCTCCTGACTGAAGAAACAAATCTGTCAGGATCTAAGCTGATAGAGGCACTGGGAGTGGGACACTGGTATTGGACCAACTTTTGAAGTATTTGAGTAAAAATTATATATTATTTTATAGAAACCACTTTGCTGAATAAGCAGTTTTATTTTATTTTGTTTTGTGAGTCATTTCTGCCCCTACTTTTAAAAAATGAATACTATTTTCAGGCTTTGCCTTCCCCTACACACTGGGCTGTCCAGGACACCTGGGTGGACAGGTGAGGACAACTCTTCTAACCTAATCCACATGAGATCTTTCATGAAAATACAAGATTATGCACAAAGTAAGATGATTGCCTGCAGTGGTCCTCCTTCCTGCTTCCTTCTCCCACCTGCCTTCACTCCAAGCAGTGACTTCCTCTGTGCATCTCAGATAAACCATCAGCGACACTTGGGTCTGAGCAACGATCCTGGCCCGACAGTTGCTGGTGAGCTGTGCAAGTCACACAGTGCCCCTGAGGCCTCGGTCTCCCCTCTGCAGGCCTGAGAACTCTGGAGGAAATCACCTGAAGACCTCCTTCACTTTCTTAGGTAGTATTCAGTAGCAGAAGCAAAACAGAGAGTTTTTTTCTTTTAATTTTTTTTTTAAAGATGTAGGGTACAATTGAGGGTGAGGTATACAAATGTTCAGTATGCAAGTACCCTTGTTGATGAGGTGTGCCCTCCCCTCCTCCAGCAGATTCCCACTGCCGCCAATCCTACATCCCTCCCCCACCTCCCCAGTAGTTTCCCGCTACTGCCAATCTTTTTTTTTTTTGAGTTGGAGTCTCACTCTGTCGTCCAGACTGAAGTGCAGTGGCACGCTCCTGGCCACCGCAGCCTCGACCTGCTGGCCTCCGGTGATCCTTCCGCCTCAGCCTTCCAAGTAGCTGGAACTACAGGCGCGCGCTACCATACCCAGCTAATTTTTTGATTTATTGTAGAGATGAGGTCTTGCCAAGTTGCCCGGGCGGCTTTTGAACCTGCGGGCTCAAGCAATCCACTCACCTGGGCCTCCCAAAGTGCTGGGATTACAGGCCGAGCCACCGAGCCTGGCCTATCTTTTTCTTACAGTATTACAATATTTTTTCAAGGTCCGCTTATGAGTGAGAACATGTGATACTTAGTTCGTTGTGTCTGTGATAGATTGCTCAGTATTACAGACTCTAAGTCCATCCAGATTGCTGTGAAGGTCATGGTTTGTTCTTCTTTATGGCTGTGTAATATTCCATCGTGTATGTGTACCACATTTTTTTAAATTCAGTCCTCTTTGGTTGGTTCCATTTTCTTGCTAGTGAACAAAGTTGCAATAAACATGTGTGTGCAGGTATCTTTTTCATAGAGTGATTTGAGTTCCTCTGAGTATATTGTTAGTAGGGTGATAGCGGGGTTGTATGGAAGGTCGATTTTTAGATCTTTTAGGAATCACCACACTGTTTTCCACAGAGGATGTACTAGTTTACACTCCCACCAACAGTATAGAAGTGTTACCTTTTCACTACATCCTCTCCAGCATCTGTTGTTTTTTGAGTTATTGATGATGGCCAGCTGGCTGGAGTTAGGTGGTATCTCAGTGTAGTTTTAATTTGCATTTCTTTGATGACTAGCGAGACAGCATTTTTTCATGTATCTGTTGGCTGCTCGTATGTCTTCTTTTGAGAAGTATCTATTCATATCTTTTGTCCACTATGCAATGGGGTTGTTAGTTTTTTTATTTTGTCCAAATTTGAGTTCCTTGTAAATCCTAGATGTTAGCCCTTTGCCAGACATAGAGTTGGCAAATATTTTTTTCCAGTCTGTGGGCTGTCTTCCCTCTTTCTTGATGGTTTATTTGGCTTTGTAGAAGCTTGTCGGTTTGATGAGGTCCCACTTATCTACTTATCTCTTATGGCCTGGGCACTTCGGGTTTTGATCAGGAATTGGCTGCCAGTTCCAATTTCCATAAGGGTGTCTCTTGTATCTTCTAAGGTTCTTATAGTTTGAGCTTTACGTTTAGGTTTTTGATCCATTTAGAGTTGATTTTTATGTATTGTGATAGATGGGGTCTTTTAATCTTCTGCATGTGGTCAGCCAGTTTTCCCAGCACAATTTACCAAATAGGTTCTCTCCCCACTGGTTGGTGGTGGAGGCTTTGTTAAAGATGAGTTGGTTGAGAAATTGAGGTTTTGCTTCTGGAATCTCGATCTTCTTCCATTGGTCTATATGCCTGTTCTTATACCAACCAATACCAGGTTATTTTGATTACTGTAGCTTTACAATAAAGCGTAAAGTCTGGGAATGTGATACCTCCTGCTTTGTTTTATTATTTATTTGTTGCTGAGGATAATTTTGGCTATTCATGGTCCTTTCCATATGAATTCCTGTATTGTCGTTTCCAGGTCTGAGAAGAATGCTGCTGGTAATTTAATGGATATTGTGTTAAATCTATAGATTGCCTTGGGTAGGGTGGACATCTGAACGATGTTGATTCTTCCAATCCATGAGCATGGAATATTTTTCCATTTGTTTGTGTCATCTTTGATTTCTTTGAGCAGTGTTTTATAGTTTTTGCTGTAAAGGTCTTTCACATCTCTGGTTAAGAAGATACTAAGGTATTTCATTTTTTCGTGTGGCTATGGTGAATGGGATTGTGCTTTTTGTTGTTGTTGTTGTTGTTTTGTTGTTGTTGTTGTTGTTTTGAGTTGGAGTCTCACTCTGTCGCCCAGACTG